AATCAGTTTTCACTGAAACAACAGATTGAAGCTTTATAACAAATTGGTCTAAAATTTCTTTTATTCCTATTTATATCCTAATGAAGTATATTTTAATAAGAATGTATAGTTATTGTAAATATACGTCTCCAATTTAGGATTTGACATCAAACATGCATAACATTAATTTCTGAATTGATTGCAACAGCAAATTGCTTTGATTTTGAAGCTGAAACTAATTTAAAATATTTGTTTTTGTTAACAGATACAGCCTAAATATGTAAGACTCCTATACCATGAAAGATGCTTCCATTGCAGATAGCACATTAGGATTAGTCACATGTATGTATTTATTCATAACAATTGTTCTTAAAACTATGTTTATATTTGTTAGGTAATAAAAATCAGTTTTTCCTGGAACAACAGCTTGAAATCTTATTACAAATTGGTCCTACATTTCATTTATTGAAATATTCACTGTAATGAGATATATTTTAATAAGAATGTAAAGTGATTGTAAAAATTCTTGTCTCCAATTAAGGATTTGACATACAACATGCATCACATTAATTTCTAAATTGATTGCAACAGCAAATAGTCTTGATTGAAAGCTGATATAAATGTATATTTTTTTGTTTTCATTACAGATACAGCCTAAATATGTAAGACTCCTATACCATGAAAGATGCTTCCATTGCAGATGCACATTAGGATAAGTCACATGTAGGTATTTGGTCATTACAATTTTCCTTAAAACTATATTTATACTTGTTAGGTAATAAAAATCAGTTTTTTCCTGAAACAACAGATTGAAGCTTTTTAACAAATTGGTCTAAAATTTCTTTCATTCAAATTTATACTCTAATGCTGAACATTTTAATAAGAATGTATAGTAATTGTAATTATATACTTTTCTCTAATTTGGGATTTCACATAAAACATGCATCACATTATTTTCTGAATTGATTGCAACAGCAAAAAGTCTGGATTTAAAGCAGAAACTAATTAATAATTATTGTTTTTGTTACAGATTATACAGCCTAAATATGTAACACTCCTATACCATGAAAGATGCTTTCACACATTAGGATGTTGCACATGTAGGTATTTGGTCATTACAATTGTTCTTAAAACTATGTTTATGTTTGTTAGGTAATAAAAATCCGTTTTTTCCTGAACAGTTTGACAAAAAGATGCTTTATGTTAAAATGGGTCTCGTAAAAGCAGACCTCATGAGCAAACTTCAGATTTTGATATAACATTGATGAATTTAATGGGCGCTATTACATAGTATGATGAAAACTTGTGTTTATGGTAAAATGTATTTAGTTTTTTGTCTGGCTCTATTTCATTATCAACCAATTTGAAACTTTGGTCTCAAAAAAATTTTTCTTCAAATATATACTCTAATGAAATATATTCTTAATGGAATGTATAGTAATTATAAATATTCTTGTCCAACATGCAAAAGATTAAATTCTGAAAAAATTGCAACAGCAAATAGTCTGTATTTCAAGCTGATATTAATTTATAGTTTTTGTTAAAGATACATCTAAATATGTTGCACTCCTAGACAGAGAAGATGGATTCATGGCAGATAGGAAGAGTCAACATGTAAGTATTTGGTCATTACAATTGTACTTAAAACTATGTTAATATTTGGAAGTCAATAAAAATCTGTTTTTACTGAAACAATAGCTTAAAATTTTATTACAAATTGGTCTAAAATATCTTTTATTCGAATTTCAAATGTGGTATATTTTAATAAGAACGAAAGAGTAATTGTAAATTAAGTGTCCGTAATTTAAGATTTGACATAAAACATGAATCACATTAATTTTTTAATTTTTTCAACAGCCATTAAATATTCTCTATCTGAAGCTGATGCTAATTTATATTTTTTCTTTTGTAATAGATACAGCCCAGATATGTTCCACTCCCACACAATGAAGATGGTTTCATGGTAGATGGCACATTAGGATGTTTAACGTGTAGGTATTTAGTCATTACAATTGTACTTTAGACTATGTTTATATGTGTTGGGTAATAAATATCAGTTTTCCCTGGAACAACAGCTTAAATAACATTTTATTTCAAATTAGTGTACATATTTCTTTTGTTCAAATTTATAATCTAGTGAAGTAAATTTTAACATGAATGTGTAGTAATTGTAAATATTCTTGTGTCCAATTTAGGATTTAACATAAAATATGAGTGACATTTATTTTATAATTGTTGCAACAGCCAATAGTCTCTATTTGAAGCTGATACTAATTGATGATTTGGTTTTGTTATAGATACAGCCTAAATATGTTACACTCCTAGACAATGAAGATGGTTTCATGGTAGATTGATCACACATCTGGATACGTAGCATGTAGGTATTTTTAATTGTACTTTAAACTATGTTTATATGGTTTGCAGGTAACAAAAATCAGTTTTCCCTGGAACAGCAGCTTAAATTAGATTTGATTTGAAATTTCTTTTATTCAAATTTATACTCTTATGAAGATTATATTAATGATAATGTATAGAAATTGTTTATATACTTGTCTTCAAATTAGGATTTGTCATAAAAAATGCATCATATTAATTTTGAATTAATTGCAACAGCCAATAGTCTCTATTTGAAGTTGATACTAATTGATGATTTGTTTTTGTTATAGATACAGCCTAAATATGTTACACTCCTAGACAATGAAGATGCTTTCATGGTATATAGCACACGAAGATTTGTATCATGTAGGTATTTTGTCATTATAATTGTACTTTTATCTCTTTTTATATGTGTTGGGTAACAAAAATCAGTTTTCCCCTTGAACAACAATTTGAAATTTTATTACAAATTTGTCGAACACTTCTTTTATTCAAATATTTACTGTAATAAGTTAAGTAATTGTAGATATTCTAGACTAGTCTCCAATTTAAGATTTGGCATAAAACATGCATCACATTAATTTCTGAATTGATTGCAACAGCAAATATTCCCTATTTAAAGCTGAAACTAATTTACAATTTTTCTTTTTATTACAGATACAGCCTAAATATGTTACACTCTTCGACAATGAAGGTGGTTTCATTGTAGATAGCACATTAGGATTAGTCACATGTAAGTATTTATTCATTACAATTTTTTTCTTTAAACTAGGTTTATTAGCTCGCCTGGCCCCTTTGGTTTTGGCCAGGTGAGTTTTTCTCATCACTTTGGCGTCCGTAGTCGTCGTCGTCTGTTCATACAAAAATCTCCTCCTGAAACTACTGGGCAAAATTTAACCAAACTTGGCCACAATCATCACTAGGGTATCTTGTTTAAAAAATGTGTCCGATGACCCCGCCTGCCAACCAAGATGGCCGACATGGCTAAAAATAGAACATAGGGGTAAAATGCAGTTTTTGGCTTATATCTCTGAAACTAAAGCATTTAGAACAAATCTGACGTGGATAAAAATGTTTATCAGGTTAAGATCTATCTGCCCTGAAATTTTCAGATGAATCAGACAAGCCGTTGTTGGGTTGCTGCCCCTGAATTAGTAATTTTAAGGAAATTTTGCAGTTTTTTTGAATATTATAATAGATAGAGATAAACTGTAAACAGCAATAATGTTCAGCAAAGGCAGATCTACAAATAAGTCAACATGACCAATATGGTCAATTGACCCCATAAGGAGTTATTGCCCTTTAAAGTCAAATTTAACAATTATTCGTAAATTTTTGTAGTCTTTTACAAAAATCTTCTCTCCTGAAACAACTGAGACACATTTAACCAAACTTGGCCACAATCATCACTCGGGTATCAAGTTTTAAAAAATGTGTCCGATGACCCTGCCTGCCAACCAACATGTCAGACATGGCTAAAAGTAGAACTTAGGGGGAAAATGCAGTTTTTGACTTATATCTCTGAAACTAAAGCAAATGTATAACGGTTGCATTATTTCATGCATCAATTATAAATAAAAATATCAGATGAGCAACACAGGCTCCTTGAAGCCTCTAGTATTTGTTAGGCATTAAAAATCAGTTTTCACTGAAACAACAGATTGAATCATTATAACAAATTGGTCTAAAATTTCTTTTATTCCTATTTATATCCTAATGAAGTATATTTTAATAAGAATGTATAGTTATTGTAAATATACGTCTCCAATTTAGGATTTGACATCAAACATGCATAACATTAATTTCTGAATTGATTGCAACAGCAAATTGCTTTGATTTTGAAGCTGAAACTAATTTAAAATATTTGTTTTTGTTAACAGATACAGCCTAAATATGTAAGACTCCTATACCATGAAAGATGCTTCCATTGCAGATAGCACATTAGGATTAGTCACATGTATGTATTTATTCATAACAATTGTTCTTAAAACTATGTTTATATTTGTTAGGTAATAAAAATCAGTTTTTCCTGGAACAACAGCTTGAAATTTTATTACAAATTGGTCCTACATTTCATTTATTGAAATATTCACTGTAATGAGATATATTTTAATAAGAATGTAAAGTGATTGTAAAAATTCTTGTCTCCAATTAAGGATTTGACATACAACATGCATCACATTAATTTCTAAATTGATTGCAACAGCAAATAGTCTTGATTGAAAGCTGATATAAATGTATATTTTTTTGTTTTCATTACAGATACAGCCTAAATATGTAAGACTCCTATACCATGAAAGATGCTTCCATTGCAGATGCACATTAGGATAAGTCACATGTAGGTATTTGGTCATTACAATTTTCCTTAAAACTATAATTATACTTGGTAGGTAATAAAAATCAGTTTTTTCCTGAAACAACAGATTGAAGCTTTTTAACAAATTGGTCTAAAATTTCTTTCATTCAAATTTATACTCTAATGCTGAATATTTTAATAAGAATGTATAGTAATTGTAATTATATACTTTTCTCTAATTTGGGATTTAACATAAAACATGCATCACATTATTTTCTGAATTGATTGCAACAGCAAAAAGTCTGGATTTAAAGCAGAAACTAATTAATAATTATTGTTTTTGTTACAGATTATACAGCCTAAATATGTAACACTCCTATACCATGAAAGATGCTTTCACACATTAGGATGTTGCACATGTAGGTATTTGGTCATTACAATTGTTCTTAAAACTATGTTTATGTTTGTTAGGTAATAAAAATCCGTTTTTTCCTGAACAGTTTGTAAAAAAGATGCTTTATGTTAAAATGGGTCTCGTAAAAGCAGACCTCATGAGCAAACTTCAGATTTTGATATAACATTGATGAATTTAATGGGCGCTATTACATAGTATGATGAAAACTTGTGTTTATGGTAAAATGTATTTAGTTTTTTGTCTGGCTCTATTTCATTATCAACCAATTTGAAACTTTGGTCTCAAAAAAATTTTTCTTCAAATATATACTCTAATGAAATATATTCTTAATGGAATGTATAGTAATTATAAATATTCTTGTCCAACATGCAAAAGATTAAATTCTGAAAAAAATTGCAACAGCAAATAGTCTGTATTTCAAGCTGATATTAATTTATAGTTTTTGTTAAAGATACATCTAAATATGTTGCACTCCTAGACATAGAAGATGGATTCATGGCAGATAGGAAGAGTCAACATGTAAGTATTTGGTCATTACAATTGTACTTAAAACTATGTTAATATTTGGAAGTCAATAAAAATCTGTTTTTACTGAAACAATAGCTTAAAATTTTATTACAAATTGGTCTAAAATATCTTTTATTCGAATTTCAAATGTGGTATATTTTAATAAGAACGAAAGAGTAATTGTAAATTAAGTGTCCGTAATTTAAGATTTGACATAAAACATGAATCACATTAATTTTTTAATTTTTTCAACAGCCATTAAATATTCTCTATCTGAAGCTGATGCTAATTTATATTTTTTCTTTTGTAATAGATACAGCCCAGATATGTTCCACTCCCACACAATGAAGATGGTTTCATGGTAGATGGCACATTAGGATGTTTAACGTGTAGGTATTTAGTCATTACAATTGTACTTTAGACTATGTTTATATGTGTTGGGTAATAAATATCAGTTTTCCCTGGAACAACAGCTTAAATAACATTTTATTTCAAATTAGTGTACATATTTCTTTTGTTCAAATTTATAATCTAGTGAAGTAAATTTTAACATGAATGTGTAGTAATTGTAAATATTCTTGTGTCCAATTTAGGATTTAACATAAAATATGAGTGACATTTATTTTATAATTGTTGCAACAGCCAATAGTCTCCATTTGAAGCTGATACTAATTGATGATTTGGTTTTGTTATAGATACAGCCTAAATATGTTACACTCCTAGACAATGAAGATGGTTTCATGGTAGATTGATCGCACATCTGGATACGTAGCATGTAGGTATTTGGTATTTTTAATTGTACTTTAAACTATGTTTATATGGTTTGCAGGTAACAAAAATCAGTTTTCCCTGGAACAGCAGCTTAAATTAGATTTGATTTGAAATTTCTTTTATTCAAATTTATACTCTTATGAAGATTATATTAATGATAATGTATAGAAATTGTTTATATACTTGTCTTCAAATTAGGATTTGTCATAAAAATTGCATCATATTAATTTTGAATTAATTGCAACAGCCAATAGTCTCTATTTGAAGTTGATACTAATTGATGATTTGTTTTTGTTATAGATACAGCCTAAATATGTTACACTCCTAGACAATGAAGATGCTTTCATGGTATATAGCACACGAAGATTTGTATCATGTAGGTATTTTGTCATTATAATTGTACTTTTATCTCTTTTTATATGTGTTGGGTAAAAAAAATCAGTTTTCCCCTTGAACAACAATTTGAAATTTTATTACAAATTTGTCGAACACTTCTTTTATTCAAATATTTACTGTAAAAGTTAAGTAATTGTAGATATTCTAGACTAGTCTCCAATTTAAGATTTGGCATAAAACATGCATCACATTAATTTCTGAATTGATTGCAACAGCAAATATTCCCTATTTAAAGCTGAAACTAATTTACAATTTTTCTTTTTATTACAGATACAGCCTAAATATGTTACACTCTTCGACAATGAAGGTGGTTTCATTGTAGATAGCACATTAGGATTAGTCACATGTAAGTATTTATTCATTACAATTTTTTTCTTTAAACTAGGTTTATTAGCTCGCCTGGCCCCTTTGGTTTTGGCCAGGTGAGTTTTTCTCATCACTTGGCGTCCGTAGTCGTCGTCGTCTGTTCATACAAAAATCTCCTCCTGAAACTACTGGGCAAAATTTAACCAAACTTGGCCACAATCATCACTAGGGTATCTTGTTTAAAAAATGTGTCCGATGACCCCGCCTGCCAACCAAGATGGCCGACATGGCTAAAAATAGAACATAGGGGTAAAATGCAGTTTTTGGCTTATATCTCTGAAACTAAAGCATTTAGAACAAATCTGACGTGGATAAAAATGTTTATCAGGTTAAGATCTATCTGCCCTGAAATTTTCAGATGAATCAGACAAGCCGTTGTTGGGTTGCTGCCCCTGAATTAGTAATTTTAAGGAAATTTTGCAGTTTTTTTGAATATTATAATAGATAGAGATAAACTGTAAACAGCAATAATGTTCAGCAAAGGCAGATCTACAAATAAGTCAACATGACCAATATGGTCAATTGACCCCATAAGGAGTTATTGCCCTTTAAAGTCAAATTTAACAATTATTCGTAAATTTTTGTAGTCTTTTACAAAAATCTTCTCTCCTGAAACAACTGAGACACATTTAACCAAACTTGGCCAAAATCATCACTCGGGTATCAAGTTTTAAAAAATGTGTCCGATGACCCTGCCTGCCAACCAACATGTCAGACATGGCTAAAAGTAGAACTTAGGGGGAAAATGCAGTTTTTGACTTATATCTCTGAAACTAAAGCAAATGTATAACGGTTGCATTATTTCATGCATCAATTATAAATAAAAATATCAGATGAGCAACACAGGCTCCTTGAAGCCTCTAGTATTTGTTAGGCATTAAAAATCAGTTTTCACTGAAACAACAGATTGAAGCTTTATAACAAATTGGTCTAAAATTTCTTTTATTCCTATTTATATCCTAATGAAGTATATTTTAATAAGAATGTATAGTTATTGTAAATATACGTCTCCAATTTAGGATTTGACATCAAACATGCATAACATTAATTTCTGAATTGATTGCAACAGCAAATTGCTTTGATTTTGAAGCTGAAACTAATTTAAAATATTTGTTTTTGTTAACAGATACAGCCTAAATATGTAAGACTCCTATACCATGAAAGATGCTTCCATTGCAGATAGCACATTAGGATTAGTCACATGTATGTATTTATTCATAACAATTGTTCTTAAAACTATGTTTATATTTGTTAGGTAATAAAAATCAGTTTTTCCTGGAACAACAGCTTGAAATTTTATTACAAATTGGTCCTACATTTCATTTATTGAAATATTCACTGTAATGAGATATATTTTAATAAGAATGTAAAGTGATTGTAAAAATTCTTGTCTCCAATTAAGGATTTGACATACAACATGCATCACATTAATTTCTAAATTGATTGCAACAGCAAATAGTCTTGATTGAAAGCTGATATAAATGTATATTTTTTTGTTTTCATTACAGATACAGCCTAAATATGTAAGACTCCTATACCATGAAAGATGCTTCCATTGCAGATGCACATTAGGATAAGTCACATGTAGGTATTTGGTCATTACAATTTTCCTTAAAACTATATTTATACTTGTTAGGTAATAAAAATCAGTTTTTTCCTGAAACAACAGATTGAAGCTTTTTAACAAATTGGTCTAAAATTTCTTTCATTCAAATTTATACTCTAATGCTGAATATTTTAATAAGAATGTATAGTAATTGTAATTATATACTTTTCTCTAATTTGGGATTTAACATAAAACATGCATCACATTATTTTCTGAATTGATTGCAACAGCAAAAAGTCTGGATTTAAAGCAGAAACTAATTAATAATTATTGTTTTTGTTACAGATTATACAGCCTAAATATGTAACACTCCTATACCATGAAAGATGCTTTCACACATTAGGATGTTGCACATGTAGGTATTTGGTCATTACAATTGTTCTTAAAACTATGTTTGTTTGTTAGGTAATAAAAATCCGTTTTTTCCTGAACAGTTTGACAAAAAGATGCTTTATGTTAAAATGGGTCTCGTAAAAGCAGACCTCATGAGCAAACTTCAGATTTTGATATAACATTGATGAATTTAATGGGCGCTATTACATAGTATGATGAAAACTTGTGTTTATGGTAAAATGTATTTAGTTTTTTGTCTGGCTCTATTTCATTATCAACCAATTTGAAACTTTGGTCTCAAAAAAATTTTTCTTCAAATATATACTCTAATGAAATATATTCTTAATGGAATGTATAGTAATTATAAATATTCTTGTCCAACATGCAAAAGATTAAATTCTGAAAAAATTGCAACAGCAAATAGTCTGTATTTCAAGCTGATATTAATTTATAGTTTTTGTTAAAGATACATCTAAATATGTTGCACTCCTAGACAGAGAAGATGGATTCATGGCAGATAGGAAGAGTCAACATGTAAGTATTTGGTCATTACAATTGTACTTAAAACTATGTTAATATTTGGAAGTCAATAAAAATCTGTTTTTACTGAAACAATAGCTTAAAATTTTATTACAAATTGGTCTAAAATATCTTTTATTCGAATTTCAAATGTGGTATATTTTAATAAGAACGAAAGAGTAATTGTAAATTAAGTGTCCGTAATTTAAGATTTGACATAAAACATGAATCACATTAATTTTTTAATTTTTTCAACAGCCATTAAATATTCTCTATCTGAAGCTGATGCTAATTTTTATTTTTTCTTTTGTAATAGATACAGCCCAGATATGTTCCACTCCCACACAATGAAGATGGTTTCATGGTAGATGGCACATTAGGATGTTTAACGTGTAGGTATTTAGTCATTACAATTGTACTTTAGACTATGTTTATATGTGTTGGGTAATAAATATCAGTTTTCCCTGGAACAACAGCTTAAATAACATTTTATTTCAAATTAGTGTACATATTTCTTTTGTTCAAATTTATAATCTAGTGAAGTAAATTTTAACATGAATGTGTAGTAATTGTAAATATTCTTGTGTCCAATTTAGGATTTAACATAAAATATGAGTGACATTTATTTTATAATTGTTGCAACAGCCAATAGTCTCTATTTGAAGCTGATACTAATTGATGATTTGGTTTTGTTATAGATACAGCCTAAATATGTTACACTCCTAGACAATGAAGATGGTTTCATGGTAGATTGATCGCACATCTGGATACGTAGCATGTAGGTATTTGGTATTTTTAATTGTACTTTAAACTATGTTTATATGGTTTGCAGGTAACAAAAATCAGTTTTCCCTGGAACAGCAGCTTAAATTAGATTTGATTTGAAATTTCTTTTATTCAAATTTATACTCTTATGAAGATTATATTAATGATAATGTATAGAAATTGTTTATATACTTGTCTTCAAATTAGGATTTGTCATAAAAAATGCATCATATTAATTTTGAATTAATTGCAACAGCCAATAGTCTCTATTTGAAGTTGATACTAATTGATGATTTGTTTTTGTTATAGATACAGCCTAAATATGTTACACTCCTAGACAATGAAGATGCTTTCATGGTATATAGCACACGAAGATTTGTATCATGTAGGTATTTTGTCATTATAATTGTACTTTTATCTCTTTTTATATGTGTTGGGTAACAAAAATCAGTTTTCCCCTTGAACAACAATTTGAAATTTTATTACAAATTTGTCGAACACTTCTTTTATTCAAATATTTACTGTAAAAGTTAAGTAATTGTAGATATTCTAGACTAGTCTCCAATTTAAGATTTGGCATAAAACATGCATCACATTAATTTCTGAATTGATTGCAACAGCAAATATTCCCTATTTAAAGCTGAAACTAATTTACAATTTTTCTTTTTATTACAGATACAGCCTAAATATGTTACACTCTTCGACAATGAAGGTGGTTTCATTGTAGATAGCACATTAGGATTAGTCACATGTAAGTATTTATTCATTACAATTTTTTTCTTTAAACTAGGTTTATTAGCTCGCCTGGCCCCTTTGGTTTTGGCCAGGTGAGTTTTTCTTATCACTTGGCGTCCGTAGTCGTCGTCGTCTGTTCATACAAAAATCTCCTCCTGAAACTACTGGGCAAAATTTAACCAAACTTGGCCACAATCATCACTAGGGTATCTTGTTTAAAAAATGTGTCCGATGACCCCGCCTGCCAACCAAGATGGCCGACATGGCTAAAAATAGAACATAGGGGTAAAATGCAGTTTTTGGCTTATATCTCTGAAACTAAAGCATTTAGAACAAATCTGACGTGGATAAAAATGTTTATCAGGTTAAGATCTATCTGCCCTGAAATTTTCAGATGAATCAGACAAGCCGTTGTTGGGTTGCTGCCCCTGAATTAGTAATTTTAAGGAAATTTTGCAGTTTTTTTGAATATTATAATAGATAGAGATAAACTGTAAACAGCAATAATGTTCAGCAAAGGCAGATCTACAAATAAGTCAACATGACCAATATGGTCAATTGACCCCATAAGGAGTTATTGCCCTTTAAAGTCAAATTTAACAATTATTCGTAAATTTTTGTAGTCTTTTACAAAAATCTTCTCTCCTGAAACAACTGAGACACATTTAACCAAACTTGGCCACAATCATCACTCGGGTATCAAGTTTTAAAAAATGTGTCCGATGACCCTGCCTGCCAACCAACATGTCAGACATGGCTAAAAGTAGAACTTAGGGGGAAAATGCAGTTTTTGACTTATATCTCTGAAACTAAAGCAAATGTATAACGGTTGCATTATTTCATGCATCAATTATAAATAAAAATATCAGATGAGCAACACAGGCTCCTTGAAGCCTCTAGTATTTGTTAGGCATTAAAAATCAGTTTTCACTGAAACAACAGATTGAAGCTTTATAACAAATTGGTCTAAAATTTCTTTTATTCCTATTTATATCCTAATGAAGTATATTTTAATAAGAATGTATAGTTATTGTAAATATACGTCTCCAATTTAGGATTTGACATCAAACATGCATAACATTAATTTCTGAATTGATTGCAACAGCAAATTGCTTTGATTTTGAAGCTGAAACTAATTTAAAATATTTGTTTTTGTTAACAGATACAGCCTAAATATGTAAGACTCCTATACCATGAAAGATGCTTCCATTGCAGATAGCACATTAGGATTAGTCACATGTATGTATTTATTCATAACAATTGTTCTTAAAACTATGTTTATATTTGTTAGGTAATAAAAATCAGTTTTTCCTGGAACAACAGCTTGAAATTTTATTACAAATTGGTCCTACATTTCATTTATTGAAATATTCACTGTAATGAGATATATTTTAATAAGAATGTAAAGTGATTGTAAAAATTCTTGTCTCCAATTAAGGATTTGACATACAACATGCATCACATTAATTTCTAAATTGATTGCAACAGCAAATAGTCTTGATTGAAAGCTGATATAAATGTATATTTTTTTGTTTTCATTACAGATACAGCCTAAATATGTAAGACTCCTATACCATGAAAGATGCTTCCATTGCAGATGCACATTAGGATAAGTCACATGTAGGTATTTGGTCATTACAATTTTCCTTAAAACTATATTTATACTTGTTAGGTAATAAAAATCAGTTTTTTCCTGAAACAACAGATTGAAGCTTTTTAACAAATTGGTCTAAAATTTCTTTCATTCAAATTTATACTCTAATGCTGAATATTTTAATAAGAATGTATAGTAATTGTAATTATATACTTTTCTCTAATTTGGGATTTAACATAAAACATGCATCACATTATTTTCTGAATTGATTGCAACAGCAAAAAGTCTGGATTTAAAGCAGAAACTAATTAATAATTATTGTTTTTGTTACAGATTATACAGCCTAAATATGTAACACTCCTATACCATGAAAGATGCTTTCACACATTAGGATGTTGCACATGTAGGTATTTGGTCATTACAATTGTTCTTAAAACTATGTTTATGTTTGTTAGGTAATAAAAATCCGTTTTTTCCTGAACAGTTTGACAAAAAGATGCTTCATGTTAAAATAGGTCTCGTAAAAGCAGACCTCATGAGCAAACTTCAGATTTTGATATAACATTGATGAATTTAATGGGCGCTATTACATAGTATGATGAAAACTTGTGTTTATGGTAAAATGTATTTAGTTTTTTGTCTGGCTCTATTTCATTATCAACCAATTTGAAACTTTGGTCTCAAAAACATTTTTCTTCAAATATATACTCTAATGAAATATATTCTTAATGGAATGTATAGTAATTATAAATATTCTTGTCCAACATGCAAAAGATTAAATTCTGAAAAAATTGCAACAGCAAATAGTCTGTATTTAAAGCTGATATTAATTTATAGTTTTTGTTAAAGATACATCTAAATATGTTGCACTCCTAGACAGAGAAGATGGATTCATGGCAGATAGGAAGAGTCAACATGTAAGTATTTGGTCATTACAATTGTACTTAAAACTATGTTAATATTTGGAAGTCAATAAAAATCTGTTTTTACTGAAACAATAGCTTAAAATTTTATTACAAATTGGTCTAAAATATCTTTTATTCGAATTTCAAATGTGGTATATTTTAATAAGAACGAAAGAGTAATTGTAAATTAAGTGTCCGTAATTTAAGATTTGACATAATACATGAATCACATTATTTTTTTTATTTTTTCAACAGCCATTAAATATTCTCTATCTGAAGCTGATGCTAATTTATATTTTTTCTTTTGTAATAGATACAGCCCAGATATGTTCCACTCCCACACAATGAAGATGGTTTCATGGTAGATGGCACATTAGGATGTTTAACGTGTAGGTATTTAGTCATTACAATTGTACTTTAGACTATGTTTATATGTGTTGGGTAATAAATATCAGTTTTCCCTGGAACAACAGCTTAAATAACATTTTATTTCAAATTAGTGTACATATTTCTTTTGTTCAAATTCATAATCTAGTGAAGTAAATTTTAACATGAATGTGTAGTAATTGTAAATATTCTTGTGTCCAATTTAGGATTTAACATAAAATATGAGTGACATTTATTTTATAATTGTTGCAACAGCCAATAGTCTCTATTTGAAGCTGATACTAATTGATGATTTGGTTTTGTTATAGATACAGCCTAAATATGTTACACTCCTAGACAATGAAGATGGTTTCATGGTAGATTGATCACACATCTGGATACGTAGCATGTAGGTATTTGGTATTTTTAATTGTACTTTAAACTATGTTTATATGGTTTGCAGGTAACAAAAATCAGTTTTCCCTGGAACAGCAGCTTAAATTAGATTTGATTTGAAATTTCTTTTATTCAAATTTATACTCTTATGAAGATTATATTAATGATATTGTATAGAAATTGTTTATATACTTGTCTTCAAATTAGGATTTGTCATAAAAAAGTAATCATATTAATTTTGAATTAATTGCAACAGCCAATAGTCTCTATTTGAAGTTGATACTAATTGATGATTTGTTTTTGTTATAGATACAGCTTAAATATGTTACACTTCTAGACAATGAAGATGCTTTCATGGTATATAGCACACGAAGATTTGTATCATGTAGGTATTTTGTCATTATAATTGTACTTTTATCTCTTTTTATATGTGTTGGGTAACAAAAATCAGTTTTCCCCTTGAACAACAATTTGAAATTTTATTACAAATTTGTCGAACATTTCTTTTATTCAAATATTTACTGTAATAAGTTAAGTAATTGTAGATATTCTAGACTAGTCTCCAATTTAAGATTTGGCATAAAACATGCATCACATTAATTTCTGAATTGATTGCAACAGCAAATATTCCCTATTTAAAGCTGAAACTAATTTACAATTTTTCTTTTTATTACAGATACAGCCTAAATATGTTACACTCTTCGACAATGAAGGTGGTTTCATTGTAGATAGCACATTAGGATTAGTCACATGTAAGTATTTATTCATTACAATTTTTTTCTTTAAACTAGGTTTATTAGCTCGCCTGGCCCCTTTGGTTTTGGCCAGGTGAGTTTTTCTTATCACTTGGCGTCCGTAGTCGTCGTCGTCTGTTCATACAAAAATCTCCTCCTGAAACTACTGGGCAAAATTTAACCAAACTTGGCCACAATCATCACTAGGGTATCTTGTTTAAAAAATGTGTCCGATGACCCCGCCTGCCAACCAAGATGGCCGACATGGCTAAAAATAGAACATAGGGGTAAAATGCAGTTTTTGGCTTATATCTCTGAAACTAAAGCATTTAGAACAAATCTGACGTGGATAAAAATGTTTATCAGGTTAAGATCTATCTGCCCTGAAATTTTCAGATGAATCAGACAAGCCGTTGTTGGGTTGCTGCCCCTGAATTAGTAATTTTAAGGAAATTTTGCAGTTTTTTTGAATATTATAATAGATAGAGATAAACTGTAAACAGCAATAATGTTCAGCAAAGGCAGATCTACAAATAAGTCAACATGACCAATATGGTCAATTGACCCCATAAGGAGTTATTGCCCTTTAAAGTCAAATTTAACAATTATTCGTAAATTTTTGTAGTCTTTTACAAAAATCTTCTCTCCTGAAACAACTGAGACACATTTAACCAAACTTGGCCACAATCATCACTCGGGTATCAAGTTTTAAAAAATGTGTCCGATGACCCTGCCTGCCAACCAACATGTCAGACATGGCTAAAAGTAGAACTTAGGGGGAAAATGCAGTTTTTGACTTATATCTCTGAAACTAAAGCAAATGTATAACGGTTGCATTATTTCATGCATCAATTATAAATAAAAATATCAGATGAGCAACACAGGCTCCTTGAAGCCTCTAGTATTTGTTAGGCATTAAAAATCAGTTTTCACTGAAACAACAGATTGAAGCTTTATAACAAATTGGTCTAAAATTTCTTTTATTCCTATTTATATCCTAATGAAGTATATTTTAATAAGAATGTATAGTTATTGTAAATATACGTCTCCAATTTAGGATTTGACATCAAACATGCATAACATTAATTTCTGAATTGATTGCAACAGCAAATTGCTTTGATTTTGAAGCTGAAACTAATTTAAAATATTTGTTTTTGTTAACAGATACAGCCTAAATATGTAAGACTCCTATACCATGAAAGATGCTTCCATTGCAGATAGCACATTAGGATTAGTCACATGTATGTATTTATTCATAACAATTGTTCTTAAAACTATGTTTATATTTGTTAGGTAATAAAAATCAGTTTTTCCTGGAACAACAGCTTGAAATTTTATTACAAATTGGTCCTACATTTCATTTATTGAAATATTCACTGTAATGAGATATATTTTAATAAGAATGTAAAGTGATTGTAAAAATTCTTGTCTCCAATTAAGGATTTGACATACAACATGCATCACATTAATTTCTAAATTGATTGCAACAGCAAATAGTCTTGATTGAAAGCTGATATAAATGTATATTTTTTTGTTTTCATTACAGATACAGCCTAAATATGTAAGACTCCTATACCATGAAAGATGCTTCCATTGCAGATGCACATTAGGATAAGTCACATGTAGGTATTTGGTCATTACAATTTTCCTTAAAACTATATTTATACTTGTTAGGTAATAAAAATCAGTTTTTTCCTGAAACAACAGATTGAAGCTTTTTAACAAATTGGTCTAAAATTTCTTTCATTCAAATTTATACTCTAATGCTGAATATTTTAATAAGAATGTATAGTAATTGTAATTATATACTTTTCTCTAATTTGGGATTTAACATAAAACATGCATCACATTATTTTCTGAATTGATTGCAACAGCAAAAAGTCTGGATTTAAAGCAGAAACTAATTAATAATTATTGTTTTTGTTACAGATTATACAGCCTAAATATGTAACACTCCTATACCATGAAAGATGCTTTCACACATTAGGATGTTGCACATGTAGGTATTTGGTCATTACAATTGTTCTTAAAACTATGTTTATGTTTGTTAGGTAATAAAAATCCGTTTTTTCCTGAACAGTTTGACAAAAAGATGCTTCATGTTAAAATAGGTCTCGTAAAAGCAGACCTCATGAGCAAACTTCAGATTTTGATATAACATTGATGAATTTAATGGGCGCTATTACATAGTATGATGAAAACTTGTGTTTATGGTAAAATGTATTTAGTTTTTTGTCTGGCTCTATTTCATTATCAACCAATTTGAAACTTTGGTCTCAAAAACATTTTTCTTCAAATATATACTCTAATGAAATATATTCTTAATGGAATGTATAGTAATTATAAATATTCTTGTCCAACATGCAAAAGATTAAATTCTGAAAAAATTGCAACAGCAAATAGTCTGTATTTAAAGCTGATATTAATTTATAGTTTTTGTTAAAGATACATCTAAATATGTTGCACTCCTAGACAGAGAAGATGGATTCATGGCAGATAGGAAGAGTCAACATGTAAGTATTTGGTCATTACAATTGTACTTAAAACTATGTTAATATTTGGAAGTCAATAAAAATCTGTTTTTACTGAAACAATAGCTTAAAATTTTATTACAAATTGGTCTAAAATATCTTTTATTCGAATTTCAAATGTGGTATATTTTAATAAGAACGAAAGAGTAATTGTAAATTAAGTGTCCGTAATTTAAGATTTGACATAATACATGAATCACATTATTTTTTTTATTTTTTCAACAGCCATTAAATATTCTCTATCTGAAGCTGATGCTAATTTATATTTTTTCTTTTGTAATAGATACAGCCCAGATATGTTCCACTCCCACACAATGAAGATGGTTTCATGGTAGATGGCACATTAGGATGTTTAACGTGTAGGTATTTAGTCATTACAATTGTACTTTAGACTATGTTTATATGTGTTGGGTAATAAATATCAGTTTTCCCTGGAACAACAGCTTAAATAACATTTTATTTCAAATTAGTGTACATATTTCTTTTGTTCAAATTCATAATCTAGTGAAGTAAATTTTAACATGAATGTGTAGTAATTGTAAATATTCTTGTGTCCAATTTAGGATTTAACATAAAATATGAGTGACATTTATTTTATAATTGTTGCAACAGCCAATAGTCTCTATTTGAAGCTGATACTAATTGATGATTTGGTTTTGTTATAGATACAGCCTAAATATGTTACACTCCTAGACAATGAAGATGGTTTCATGGTAGATTGATCACACATCTGGATACGTAGCATGTAGGTATTTGGTATTTTTAATTGTACTTTAAACTATGTTTATATGGTTTGCAGGTAACAAAAATCAGTTTTCCCTGGAACAGCAGCTTAAATTAGATTTGATTTGAAATTTCTTTTATTCAAATTTATACTCTTATGAAGATTATATTAATGATATTGTATAGAAATTGTTTATATACTTGTCTTCAAATTAGGATTTGTCATAAAAAAGTAATCATATTAATTTTGAATTAATTGCAACAGCCAATAGTCTCTATTTGAAGTTGATACTAATTGATGATTTGTTTTTGTTATAGATACAGCTTAAATATGTTACACTTCTAGACAATGAAGATGCTTTCATGGTATATAGCACACGAAGATTTGTATCATGTAGGTATTTTGTCATTATAATTGTACTTTTATCTCTTTTTATATGTGTTGGGTAACAAAAATCAGTTTTCCCCTTGAACAACAATTTGAAATTTTATTACAAATTTGTCGAACATTTCTTTTATTCAAATATTTACTGTAATAAGTTAAGTAATTGTAGATATTCTAGACTAGTCTCCAATTTAAGATTTGGCATAAAACATGCATCACATTAATTTCTGAATTGATTGCAACAGCAAATATTCCCTATTTAAAGCTGAAACTAATTTACAATTTTTCTTTTTATTACAGATACAGCCTAAATATGTTACACTCTTCGACAATGAAGGTGGTTTCATTGTAGATAGCACATTAGGATTAGTCACATGTAAGTATTTATTCATTACAATTTTTTTCTTTAAACTAGGTTTATTAGCTCGCCTGGCCCCTTTGGTTTTGGCCAGGTGAGTTTTTCTTATCACTTGGCGTCCGTAGTCGTCGTCGTCTGTTCATACAAAAATCTCCTCCTGAAACTACTGGGCAAAATTTAACCAAACTTGGCCACAATCATCACTAGGGTATCTTGTTTAAAAAATGTGTCCGATGACCCCGCCTGCCAACCAAGATGGCCGACATGGCTAAAAATAGAACATAGGGGTAAAATGCAGTTTTTGGCTTATATCTCTGAAACTAAAGCATTTAGAACAAATCTGACGTGGATAAAAATGTTTATCAGGTTAAGATCTATCTGCCCTGAAATTTTCAGATGAATCAGACAAGCCGTTGTTGGGTTGCTGCCCCTGAATTAGTAATTTTAAGGAAATTTTGCAGTTTTTTTGAATATTATAATAGATAGAGATAAACTGTAAACAGCAATAATGTTCAGCAAAGGCAGATCTACAAATAAGTCAACATGACCAATATGGTCAATTGACCCCATAAGGAGTTATTGCCCTTTAAAGTCAAATTTAACAATTATTCGTAAATTTTTGTAGTCTTTTACAAAAATCTTCTCTCCTGAAACAACTGAGACACATTTAACCAAACTTGGCCACAATCATCACTCGGGTATCAAGTTTTAAAAAATGTGTCCGATGACCCTGCCTGCCAACCAACATGTCAGACATGGCTAAAAGTAGAACTTAGGGGGAAAATGCAGTTTTTGACTTATATCTCTGAAACTAAAGCAAATGTATAACGGTTGCATTATTTCATGCATCAATTATAAATAAAAATATCAGATGAGCAACACAGGCTCCTTGAAGCCTCTAGTATTTGTTAGGCATTAAAAATCAGTTTTCACTGAAACAACAGATTGAAGCTTTATAACAAATTGGTCTAAAATTTCTTTTATTCCTATTTATATCCTAATGAAGTATATTTTAATAAGAATGTATAGTTATTGTAAATATACGTCTCCAATTTAGGATTTGACATCAAACATGCATAACATTAATTTCTGAATTGATTGCAACAGCAAATTGCTTTGATTTTGAAGCTGAAACTAATTTAAAATATTTGTTTTTGTTAACAGATACAGCCTAAATATGTAAGACTCCTATACCATGAAAGATGCTTCCATTGCAGATAGCACATTAGGATTAGTCACATGTATGTATTTATTCATAACAATTGTTCTTAAAACTATGTTTATATTTGTTAGGTAATAAAAATCAGTTTTTCCTGGAACAACAGCTTGAAATTTTATTACAAATTGGTCCTACATTTCATTTATTGAAATATTCACTGTAATGAGATATATTTTAATAAGAATGTAAAGTGATTGTAAAAATTCTTGTCTCCAATTAAGGATTTGACATACAACATGCATCACATTAATTTCTAAATTGATTGCAACAGCAAATAGTCTTGATTGAAAGCTGATATAAATGTATATTTTTTTGTTTTCATTACAGATACAGCCTAAATATGTAAGACTCCTATACCATGAAAGATGCTTCCATTGCAGATGCACATTAGGATAAGTCACATGTAGGTATTTGGTCATTACAATTTTCCTTAAAACTATATTTATACTTGTTAGGTAATAAAAATCAGTTTTTTCCTGAAACAACAGATTGAAGCTTTTTAACAAATTGGTCTAAAATTTCTTTCATTCAAATTTATACTCTAATGCTGAATATTTTAATAAGAATGTATAGTAATTGTAATTATATACTTTTCTCTAATTTGGGATTTAACATAAAACATGCATCACATTATTTTCTGAATTGATTGCAACAGCAAAAAGTCTGGATTTAAAGCAGAAACTAATTAATAATTATTGTTTTTGTTACAGATTATACAGCCTAAATATGTAACACTCCTATACCATGAAAGATGCTTTCACACATTAGGATGTTGCACATGTAGGTATTTGGTCATTACAATTGTTCTTAAAACTATGTTTATGTTTGTCAGGTAATAAAAATCCGTTTTTTCCTGAACAGTTTGACAAAAAGATGCTTTATGTTAAAATGGGTGTCGTAAAAGCAGACCTCATGAGCAAACTTCAGATTTTGATATAACATTGATGAATTTAATGGGCGCTATTACATAGTATGATGAAAACTTGTGTTTATGGTAAAATGTATTTAGTTTTTTGTCTGGCTCTATTTCATTATCAACCAATTTGAAACTTTGGTCTCAAAAACATTTTTCTTCAAATATATACTCTAATGAAATATATTCTTAATGGAATGTATAGTAATTATAAATATTCTTGTCCAACATGCAAAAGATTAAATTCTGAAAAAATTGCAACAGCAAATAGTCTGTATTTAAAGCTGATATTAATTTATAGTTTTTGTTAAAGATACATCTAAATATGTTGCACTCCTAGACAGAGAAGATGGATTCATGGCAGATAGGAAGAGTCAACATGTAAGTATTTGGTCATTACAATTGTACTTAAAACTATGTTAATATTTGGAAGTCAATAAAAATCTGTTTTTACTGAAACAATAGCTTAAAATTTTATTACAAATTGGTCTAAAATATCTTTTATTCGAATTTCAAATGTGGTATATTTTAATAAGAACGAAAGAGTAATTGTAAATTAAGTGTCCGTAATTTAAGATTTGACATAAAACATGAATCACATTATTTTTTTTTATTTTTTCAACAGCCATTAAATATTCTCTATCTGAAGCTGATGCTAATTTATATTTTTTCTTTTGTAATAGATACAGCCCAGATATGTTCCACTCCCACACAATGAAGATGGTTTCATGGTAGATGGCACATTAGGATGTTTAACGTGTAGGTATTTAGTCATTACAATTGTACTTTAGACTATGTTTATATGTGTTGGGTAATAAATATCAGTTTTCCCTGGAACAACAGCTTAAATAACATTTTATTTCAAATTAGTGTACATATTTCTTTTGTTCAAATTCATAATCTAGTGAAGTAAATTTTAACATGAATGTGTAGTAATTGTAAATATTCTTGTGTCCAATTTAGGATTTAACATAAAATATGAGTGACATTTATTTTATAATTGTTGCAACAGCCAATAGTCTCTATTTGAAGCTGATACTAATTGATGATTTGGTTTTGTTATAGATACAGCCTAAATATGTTACACTCCTAGACAATGAAGATGGTTTCATGGTAGATTGATCACACATCTGGATACGTAGCATGTAGGTATTTGGTATTTTTAATTGTACTTTAAACTATGTTTATATGGTTTGCAGGTAACAAAAATCAGTTTTCCCTGGAACAGCAGCTTAAATTAGATTTGATTTGAAATTTCTTTTATTCAAATTTATACTCTTATGAAGATTATATTAATGATATTGTATAGAAATTGTTTATATACTTGTCTTCAAATTAGGATTTGTCATAAAAAAGTAATCATATTAATTTTGAATTAATTGCAACAGCCAATAGTCTCTATTTGAAGTTGATACTAATTGATGATTTGTTTTTGTTATAGATACAGCTTAAATATGTTACACTTCTAGACAATGAAGATGCTTTCATGGTATATAGCACACGAAGATTTGTATCATGTAGGTATTTTGTCATTATAATTGTACTTTTATCTCTTTTTATATGTGTTGGGTAACAAAAATCAGTTTTCCCCTTGAACAACAATTTGAAATTTTATTACAAATTTGTCGAACATTTCTTTTATTCAAATATTTACTGTAATAAGTTAAGTAATTGTAGATATTCTAGACTAGTCTCCAATTTAAGATTTGGCATAAAACATGCATCACATTAATTTCTGAATTGATTGCAACAGCAAATATTCCCTATTTAAAGCTGAAACTAATTTTTCTTTTTATTACAGATACAGCCTAAATATGTTACACTCTTCGACAATGAAGATGGTTTCATTGTAGATAGCACATTAGGATAAGTCACATGTAAGTATTTATTCATTACAATTTTTTTCTTTAAACTAGGTTTATTAGCTCACCTGGCCCCTTTGGTTTTGGCCAGGTGAGCTTTTCTCATCACTTGGCATCCGTCGTCGTCGTCGTCCGTTCATACAAAAATCTCCTCCTGAAACTACTGGGCAAAATTTAACCAAACTTGGCCACAATCATCACTAGGGTATCTAGTTTAAAAAATGTGTCCGATGACACCGCCTGCCAACCAAGATGGCCGACATGGCTAAAAATAGAACATAGGGGTAAAATGCAGTTTTTGGCTTATATCTCTGAAACTAAAGCATTTAGAACAAATCTGACGTGGGTAAAAATGTTTATCAGGTTAAGATCTATCTGCCCTGAAATTTTCAGATGAATCAGACAAGCCGTTGTTGGGTTGCTGCCCCTGAATTAGTAATTTTAAGGAAATTTTGCAGTTTTTTTGTTATCTTGAATATTATAATAGATAGAGATAAACTGTAAACAGCAATAATGTTCAGCAAAGGCAGATCTACAAATAAGTCAACATGACCAATATGGTCAATTGACCCCATAAGGAGTTATTGCCCTTTAAAGTCAAATTTAACAATTATTCGTAAATTTTTGTAGTCTTTTACAAAAATCTTCTCTCCTGAAACAACTGAGACAAATTTAACCAAACTTGGCCACAATCATCACTGGGGTATCTAGTTTTAAAAAATGTGTCCGATGACCCTGCCTGCCAACCAACATGTCAGACATGGCTAAAAGTAGAACTTAGGGGGAAAATGCAGTTTTTGACTTATATCTCTGAAACTAAAGCAAATGTATAACGGTTGCATTATTTCATGCATCAATTGTAAATAAAAATATCAGATGAGCAACACAGGCTCCTTGAAGCCTCTAGTATTTGTTAGGCATTAAAAATCAGTTTTCACTGAAACAACAGATTGAAGCTTTATAACAAATTGGTCTAAAATTTCTTTTATTCCTATTTATATCCTAATGAAGTATATTTTAATAAGAATGTATAGTTATTGTAAATATACGTCTCCAATTTAGGATTTGACATCAAACATGCATAACATTAATTTCTGAATTGATTGCAACAGCAAATTGCTTTGATTTTGAAGCTGAAACTAATTTAAAATATTTGTTTTTGTTAACAGATACAGCCTAAATATGTAAGACTCCTATATCATGAAAGATGCTTCCATTGCAGATAGCACATTAGGATTAGTCACATGTATGTATTTATTCATAACAATTGTTCTTAAAACTATGTTTATATTTGTTAGGTAATAAAAATCAGTTTTTCCTGGAACAACAGCTTGAAATTTTATTACAAATTGGTCCTACATTTCATTTATTGAAATATTCACTGTAATGAGATATATTTTAATAAGAATGTATAGTGATTGTAAAAATTCTTGTCTCCAATTAAGGATTTGACATACAACATGCATCACATTAATTTCTAAATTGATTGCAACAGCAAATAGTCTTGATTGAAAGCTGATATAAATGTATATTTTTTTGTTTTCATTACAGATACAGCCTAAATATGTAAGACTCCTATTCCATGAAAGATGCTTCCATTGCAGATGCACATTAGGATAAGTCACATGTAGGTATTTGGTCATTACAATTTTCCTTAAAACTATATTTATACTTGTGAGGTAATAAAAATCAGTTTTTTCCTGAAACAACAGATTGAAGCTTTTTAACAAATTGGTCTAAAATTTCTTTCATTCAAATTTATACTCTAATGCTGAATATTTTAATAAGAATGTATAGTAATTGTAATTATATACTTTTCTCTAATTTGGGATTTAACATAAAACATGCATCACATTATTTTCTGAATTGATTGCAACAGCAAAAAGTCTGGATTTAAAGCAGAAACTAATTAATAATTATTGTTTTTGTTACAGATTATACAGCCTAAATATGTAACACTTCTATACCATGAAAGATGCTTTCACACATTAGGATGTTGCACATGTAGGTATTTGGTCATTACAATTGTTCTTAAAACTATGTTTATGTTTGTTAGGTAATAAAAATCCGTTTTTTCCTGAACAGTTTGACAAAAAGATGCTTTATGTTAAAATGGGTCTCGTAAAAGCAGACCTCATGAGCAAACTTCAGATTTTGATATAACATTGATGAATTTAATGGGTGCTATTACATAGTATGATGAAAACTTGTGTTTATGGTAAAATGTATTTAGTTTTTTGTCTGGCTCTATTTCATTATCGACCAATTTGAAACTTTGGTCTCAAAAAATTTTTTCTTCAAATATATACTCTAATGAAATATATTCTTAATGGAATGTATAGTAATTATGAATATTCTTGTCCAACATGCAAAAGATTAAATTCTGAAAAAATTGCAACAGCAAATAGTCTGTATTTAAAGCTGATATTAATTTATAGTTTTTGTTAAAGATACATCTAAATATGTTGCACTCCTAGACAGAGAAGATGGATTCATGGCAGATAGGAAGAGTCAACATGTAAGTATTTGGTCATTACAATTGTACTTAAAACTATGTTAATATTTGGAAGTCAATAAAAATCTGTTTTTACTGAAACAATAGCTTAAAATTTTATTACAAATTGGTCTAAAATATCTTTTATTCGAATTTCAAATGTGGTATATTTTAATAAGAACGAAAGAGTAATTGTAAATTAAGTGTCCGTAATTTAAGATTTGACATAAAACATGAATCACATTAATTTTTTAATTTTTTCAACAGCCATTAAATATTCTCTATCTGAAGCTGATGCTAATTTATATTTTTTCTTTTGTAATAGATACAGCCCAGATATGTTCCAATCCCACACAATGAAGATGGTTTCATGGTAGATGGCACATTAGGATGTTTAACGTGTAGGTATTTAGTCATTACAATTGTACTTTAGACTATGTTTATATGTGTTGGGTAATAAATATCAGTTTTCCCTGGAACAACAGCTTAAATAACATTTTATTTCAAATTAGTGTACATATTTCTTTTGTTCAAATTTATAATCTAGTGAAGTAAATTTTAACATGAATGTGTAGTAATTGTAAATATTCTTGTGTCCAATTTAGGATTTAACATAAAATATGAGTGACATTTATTTTATAATTGTTGCAACAGCCAATAGTCTCTATTTGAAGCTGATACTAATTGATGATTTGGTTTTGTTATAGATACAGCCTAAATATGTTACACTCCTAGACAATGAAGATGGTTTCATGGTAGATTGATCACACATCTGGATACGTAGCATGTAGGTATTTGGTATTTTTAATTGTACTTTAAACTATGTTTATATGGTTTGCAGGTAACAAAAATCAGTTTTCCCTGGAACAGCAGCTTAAATTAGATTTGATTTGAAATTTCTTTTATTCAAATTTATACTCTTATGAAGATTATATTAATGATAATGTATAGAAATTGTTTATATACTTGTCTTCAAATTAGGATTTGTCATACAAAATGCATCATATTAATTTTGAATTAATTGCAACAGCCAATAGTCTCTATTTGAAGTTGATACTAATTGATGATTCGTTTTTGTTATAGATACAGCCTAAATATGTTACACTCCTAGACAATGAAGATGCTTTCATGGTATATAGCACACGAAGATTTGTATCATGTAGGTATTTTGTCATTATAATTGTACTTTTATCTCTTTTTATATGTGTTGGGTAACAAAAATCAGTTTTCCCCTTGAACAACAATTTGAAATTTTATTACAAATTTGTCGAACATTTCTTTTATTCAAATATTTACTGTAATAAGTTAAGTAATTGTAGATATTCTAGACTAGTCTCCAATTTAAGATTTGGCATAAAACATGCATCACATTAATTTCTGAATTGATTGCAACAGCAAATATTCCCTATTTAAAGCTGAAACTAATTTACAATTTTCTTTTTATTACAGATACAGCCTAAATATGTTACACTCTTCGACAATGAAGATGGTTTCATTGTAGATAGCACATTAGGATTAGTCACATGTAAGTATTTATTCATTACAATTTTTTTCTTTAAACTAGGTTTATTAGCTCACCTGGCCCCTTTGGTTTTGGCCAGGTGAGCTTTTCTCATCACTTGGCGTCCGTCGTCGTCGTCCGTTCATACAAAAATCTCCTGAAACTACTGGGCAAAATTTAACCAAACTTGGCCACAATCATCACTAGGGTATCTAGTTTAAAAAATGTGTCCAATGACCCCGCCTGCCAACCAAGATGGCCGACATGGCTAAAAATAGAACATAGGGGTAAAATGCAGTTTTTGGCTTATATCTCTGAAACTAAAGCATTTAGAACAAATCTGACGTGGGTAAAAATGTTTATCAGGTTAAGATCTATCTGCCCTGAAATTGAATCAGACAAGCCGTTGTTGGGTTGCTGCCCCTGAATTAGTAATTTTAAGGAAATTTTGCAGTTTTTTTGTTATCTTGAATATTATAATAGATAGAGATAAACTGTAAACAGCAATAATGTTCAGCAAAGGCAGATCTACAAATAAGTCAACATGACCAATATGGTCAATTGACCCCATAAGGAGTTATTGCCCTTTAAAGTCAAATTTAACAATTATTCGTAAATTTTTGTAGTCTTTTACAAAAATCTTCTCTCCTGAAACAACTGAGACAAATTTAACTAAACTTGGCCACAATCATCACTGGGGTATCTAGTTTAAAAAAATATATCCAATGACCCTGCCTGCCAACCAACATGTCAGACATCGCTAAAAGTAGAACTTGGGGGGAAAATGCAGTTTTTGACATATCTCTGAAACTAAAGCAAATGTATAACGGTTGCATTATTTCATGCATCAATAGTAAATAAAAATATCAGATGAGCAACACAGGCTCCTTGAAGCCTCTAGTATTTGTTAGGCATTAAAAATCAGTTTTCACTGAAACAACAGATTGAAGCTTTATAACAAATTGGTCTAAAATTTCTTTTATTCCTATTTATATCCTAATGAAGTATATTTTAATAAGAATGTTTAGTTATTGTAAATATACGTCTCCAATTTAGGATTTGACATCAAACATGCATAACATTAATTTCTGAGTTGATTGCAACAGCAAATTGCTTTGATTTTGAAGCTGAAACTAATTTAAAATATTTGTTTTTGTTTTTAACAGATACAGCCTAAATATGTAAGACTCCTATACCATGAAAGATGCTTCCATTGCAGATAACACATTAGGATTAGTCACATGTATGTATTTATTCATAACAATTGTTCTTAAAACTATGTTTATATTTGTTAGGTAATAAAAATCAGTTTTTCCTGGAACAACAGCTTGAAATTTTATTACAAACTGGTCCTACATTTCATTTATTGAAATATTCACTGTAATGAGATATATTTTAATAAGAATGTATAGTGATTGTAAAAATTCTTGTCTCCAAATAAGGATTTGACATACAACATGCATCACATTAATTTCTGAATTGATTGGTTTTATTTACAGGTGCAACTTATATGATGTTTCAGTAGTAGAAGGTGCAGCATGGCAGCAGAGGATGTTAAATTGAGAATCGTGAAGAGACAGTTTAATTTTTTAGAGAATAAATAAGATTAAGATTATAGAAATCTCTAATGTTCAAAATATCAGATGAGAATTTGCCAAGTGCCCTCAATATGTCTACAATGATATAACATTCATAATTAAGCCAAAAGATCAATTGTTGGTTTTAATTAATGCCAGCTCTAAATAAGATCTTAAAATAGAAACTATCTTCAAATTTGACAAGTTACCATATCTACATATGAATAAATTAGAATAGTCTGTAAATATTCTGTAGTTTCCTTTTTGCATCATCTTTTGAGTAACCAAATCAGAACATCCAATTTGGTGAAATACTTTTTCCTGTTATATCTGTCATTGCTTTTGTAAGATAAAAACAAAAATGTATATGCAGTTTTGTTAAATATATTTAAATTCAAAATTAAAAAAAAAAATCAATTTCAAATTAACTCAAACAAAATTGACTTTAACTTATGGTTTAGTTCATGCACCCTTTAATGTATATCTTAAAAGTTTTGTTGTGGACTAAGCAAATATCAAATTATCATTTCAGAAGTACATTTTGTTTGCATGGTATCATCTTCACTAACATTTAACATAGTGGGTTTCGGAGTTACTGAGGTAGTTCTTATTGAGGTGTTTCTTGTTTTTTTCTATGGAGGAATCAGTGGTTTCTATGTCTTCAGGATATGGTTTTGTCATTCAAAGGGAACTGTCAATGTAATTCTGAAATGATATACATTTGATATTTTATTGTCATTGAAAAAGAAACAATATTAGTGCATGAACATTTGAACTGTGAATATATAATATTTAAACTTTATAATTTATAATTTTTAAATCGATTTTGGAAAGTTATTGTATCAAAATTAAATTGTATTTGACACAGTTTGATGGATGGAAATTGAAAATTAGAAAAACTTAATTTATGTTCTAAATTTAAGCACAAGTGAAAACAAAATTCCAAATATAAATTTCTGCTTCATTAAAACATTTGGTTAAATGGATCTGCAAAATCACTGATAGCTAACACGGTTAATACACTTAATTAGGTAGTGTCGTTAAGTATAGTCTAATGGATCCTGTTGATATCCTATTAAAAGTATTGATGTATTATAAATCATATTCCTAAATCTTACATATCAGATGCGAGAGACCCCCCCCCCCCCTTTTGCTATAGAGGGATCGCCCTTGCGTCAGTGTCTTACAAATTGTACTGTAATATACTGAACTATAGATTAGCTCAGTTGGTAGATGATAACAATGTACTGGTTGAGGAACAGAATGGTTTACCGCAACTTTGTAGTACAATAGACCAATTATCTACTCTTACTAATTTGATAGATGTGAGAAAAACACTTCCTAAATCAATCTTTTTCGCCTTTATTGATTTTAAAAAAGGCTTACGACACTACAAAGAGATATTTTATGGTATATACTAAATAAAATTGGTGTTGCACAGACTTTTGTTCTGCTATTAAGTCAATTTATACAAATGTTCTGTAAGAATAAACGGTCATTTCACAGACTGGTTTGATGTAAACACTGGCTTGAAACAAGGATGTCCCTTGTCGCTCATTTTGTTCAACTTGTGTATTAATGATTACCATTTCTTAAGTCCTTTGACTGCGGAATAGAAATTGGTGATGAAAAACTTTATTTTATTATATGCTGATGATGTTATTATAGCAAACGATGAAAAAGAGCTACAACTTTTGGTAAATGCTTTTTCTACATGATTTGAAGACAATTGTATGACAATTGATACAAACAAGAGTAACATTGTACAATTTAGACCACCATCTATACCTAGATATGATGTAATTTTTAATTGTAATGGTCATACTATAAAGTCTTCTAGTAATGATACTTGGTCTCGTTTTAAACAAGCATTTAGACTATAATATCACTGCAAACGCCGTTGAAATCTTCAGCGAATAGAGCTTTAGGGATGGTAATAGCCAAGTGTAAACTTTTAGGGGGTGTTTGTTTCGATGTATTTGTAAAATTATATGAAAGTTTGGTTTGTCCTATAATAGAATATGAAAAGGTATATGGGGTGTAAAAAGATATTCTTGTATAAATTCCATACATAATGGGGCCTATAGATTTTCTAGAAGAAAAATATGCACCAAATGCTGCAGTTACTGGAGACTTGGGTATTATTGTATTATACGTTGATAATTTTATTTTATATTGCATTTTGATTTGTCAATACACACATGTTTCATGGTGTAGGTCAGAGCACCTGACCCTGGAGACAGGATTGCGCACTTGGCATCCACTGACACAGGTTTCTAGAGCTTTTTGATCGATTATATCGTTTTTTTTATCTCTAGTTGTTCCTGGCCGGCCTTGACTGTCTATGAAGGGGTGCATTTAGTCAAAAGTTGGTTTTGGTGTATTTAGGAAAATCATGGAAGTATTATATTTTACTTCCATGGGATAATATATACATAGGAATTGTTATGATTTTGAATTAAATATGCATTGCAATATTTTAATGATTTATTGAATTTGTGAATATTTATAATACAATCTGGCGTCCATCGAGCATGATCGGCTGTCCGCAAACTAAGATTATGTTTGCATTGTTTATATTTGGCACAAGTATGTAGTTAATACCACCTATTTTTGATAAGCAGTGGAAAGTATTATTCGTTTGTGGTGTAGATTAAATCACATGAGCTAAGGTCGGATAAATGCAAAAGTTCATTAGTGGGCTGATAGAATGAGTATTAAGCATAAGTGTGCTGAAAACTGGAACTTTTTAGTAAGGAAAACCTTCTCTGAACTGAATTCAAGTCATTTATCGTGTCCTGAAAATATGGACACTAATTATGTTGTTAAACTTTTAATGTCAAAATGAATTTCAGTCACAGAAGTGCTTTTCTCAAATTTAGATGTGGTGTTGCTCCACTAAGGATTTAAACTGGGAAATATGAAAATATTGTTTTAGCTTGTGCCATATATGTTATAGTTTTATTGAAGACGAAGCACATGTTTTATTAAGATGTCCTCTTTATGAAGATTTTAGAAACCATTTATATTATGTTGCTGAAACTTATAATGAAAATTTTAATACTTTAGATGATAACCAAAAGCTTGTGTTTTTATTCTAAAGTTTGTGTTTTTATTCTCAGATGTAAATATGTTACGTGTGTTCCAAAACCTGTTATTTGATTTTAAAAAGGTGTTGAAATTTTATATATGGAAAATACATAGTATTATATCTATGCATTTTAATAGTCTTTATAATTCTGTATAGAATGGCTTATTTTATTTAGTGTTGTTTTACAATGTATAAATATCGATTGTAATTGTTGAGAGATGACACATTCATAAAACATTGAATTAATTGAATTGAGTTTGTTAGTATTACAATCAATATTTGAGTATGCCTCGCACAAAAAGGTGCAAGCAGGGCCGTACTGGACATCTTCAGTTATCAAGGTTTTTTTTTATAACAAGCACACTGAGATCTGGTATCCAGGAAATTAAAATGAATCAACAATACTTTCATGTATTTTGTACAATAATATTTTTTTCTAATTACACCTTACTCATGATGCAGATCTGTCTGCATCTAATACTATGATGATGTACTACAGTGGCATAAAAGTAGTTACAATAGGTTTAGAAAGTGTCATTTTGGTATTTATCAAGATCGTCGATGATAGATTTTTTGCCATTATTTGATATTTCACATAAAATACAATGAGCATTTCATCAATTATAATTGCTACGATTTTCTTTATGTATTTATGCTTATCCTTGTATGCATGTGTATTGTTTTAATGAAGATAAAATCCGATGTCCAGGTTATCGGCAATATGAATATATTATTTGTTTTGTTTAAGCCTAAATATTTGGAAAGATTCGTAAATGAAATTTTTTTGTTGTTGACAAAACCTATGTTACAGCTCATTAACCCCTTCCATGGTGATGCACATGTTCATCCATCCCTTTGCCCTGTCTCAAGTTTGCTTTCCACTCCGATTAATTACAATTTGCCTAATGTCATGGACAACAATAAAATGTAGGTCAAGTTCGATTTTGTCTTAGTTACCTTTAGAGGTGTAATATTACCATTGTTTTCACCCATTAGTCTTTGTTAAATTTTCACTCTTCTAAAAATTTATCTTTGTTCCAAATAAAGAAATACTTGGCTTTAATCAAGTTTTATTCTTTCTAGCTGTATGGCTACAGACAAAATTTCAAATAACATGTCATTGGATATACGATGATTACCATCGCTGGAAGTTCACCAATCAAATGTTCTCCCCTTTTTTCCTGTGTACAAGCTTTTGTAACCATGTAACCTGTAACCTCAAGTTTCCCAAATAGTCTATAGAAACACCAAACCAGAGGCTCTGACGATCCTGTGTCGCTCACCTGGTTCTACTTTGGTTGTGGAAATCATGTAAAAATAGATTAAAATCATAACAGATACCCTAATAATAATTGAGACCAAGTTTGAAACAAAGTAACACTTGGTCAGCACCTCATAAGGAACATTCATGCCATGTTTGGTTTCATTACATTCAGTGGTTCTTCAAAAGAAGACTTTTGTATGTATTTCACATAGGGTCCTTTGTTAAACTAAGTTCCCCGCTGGAAACCATCTTTGGTAATTGATTAGCTACAAAGTAACAACACTTGGTCAGCGCCTCATTAGGAACATTCATTT